GAAAGCCAAATACACATTGATTGATGCACGATATGGAAGAAACATGTTGATATGCACAAACCTGCATATGGCGCATCCACCTACATCTTTTCCGAAAGATGGCACTATGCGAATGCACCGTTGAGTTATTTCTGCAAGAGGGTCTGCTCCAGGCACTCTGCCAGCTGCAATGGCATTGGCATTCCTCTCATCGAATTTTTCTCTTTCAAACATGTTCTTGCAATATTTGCAATACCAAGTTCCTTCTGGGAGGCTTGACAGGCCAACACACACTGCAAGAGAAGAAAGAAAGAGCAAAATAAGCAAAATGTACGAAGTAAGGTAGAAGATAAAATACTAATGATAAAGGTATACAATCAGGCAAACCATGTTGGCTTCATATACAGAATAAATCTTTGAAGAATAAAATAAAATCTTGAGACGAGGTGGAGGAGAGGCATTGTGTGGAAAGAACCGTAACAACGATCTGGGATTCTAACTTGTAGTGGGGATTCATAAGCAACAAACATTTCGGGCATAACAGCTTTCACGTAACTAAAGTTACTCTTATTCTATCAAAACATAACATCCTATGACAATTTCTACGTGACAATGTTCTCACCAGTGTGAAAAGCACGGGGACATTTGTCACAGCATAACAGATCCCCTCCATCTTCACAAATAGAACAGAGATCATCATTTTCATCTGAAGACGATTTACCATTTTTGGATAGTTCAAGGGATAACTGATGTAGAGACACTCCATTAGAAGTGTATATGCTCATGTACCTGCAAGAACCAGTAGACTGAGTCAAAGAAAATGAAACGTTAAACTCTTTCTAGTAAATGTCTAAAAGCCTCAAGCTCATGTGCTCATGTACTAAGTTAAACACATATTGGCCAAGTCAAGAGGATTATGTTTATGTGGTAGAGAGAATACAAATGCCTAAGATGCACTGTTATCTATGGCGGAAGGCAGAAATGGCGGCAGACTGAAATCCCGCCACAGACGCTGCCATAACAGTCATCCTTCACAAACTTCTAATGGTGGTAAGGTAGAAATCCTCCACGCCATATCGTCATGATGGTAAGACTGTTAAGATGTAAATAAATAATAACGAAAATGAATAGTAAGGAAAGACCAAAAAATACTC